TGACTTCTTGTGGGAATGAGGAATGGGAGATGAAGTTACAAAATCAGGCAGAAGCCGGCCTGCCAAGGGGGCATGAAATCATGTGCTTTCAAGCCCCCAAGAAAGGCTGGTGGCTGAGACTGTGCCATGGCCCAGAAGAGACAGAAGGGGGGGGGGGCAAGGGGTGGGGACAAGGAGGAAAGCCCTGACGAGGAGAAAGAGGCCAGGTCACTGAGGGTTTGGCAGTGATAGCAGTGCCTGAAATGGGGGCCACAGAGCAAGACATAAACAAACCAAGCTGGGTGGTCACAAAATGTGAAAGGAATGAAAAACAAATGCTGAGGTCTGAGTGGCATGATGTGTGGCAACAGGCCTCAGATGGGGACGCAGGCATGGGTAGGAGGAAAAGGGGGGGTGCATGCTCTGAGGGCAACCTGGTCACGGGTCATCAAGAATTAACATTTCACTTTGAAAGAGAAACCCATCGGTAAGGAGAAATCCTGTAGATATTTCCAGGCCAGTAAAGAAAGATTAGTGGCAGCACCATTGTACTAGTACTGCATGACTATCAAGAAGACTGGTTAAATAAGCTCTGAGTTTATTTAACGTAACCAGATGTGGGACTCTGCAACTATTCAAAAGAACAAGTTACACCCGGATGAAGTGATGCAGATGCCCAGAGTAAACAAAAGCAGGATGCAAAAGTGCATGTGTATATCTCATTGCAAGTAACACAAAAGCACCGTTCTCAGATGTGTGCACACCGGTAGGTCCAGCTTGTAAGCCCACCATGAGCTGTGGCCATTATCAAGGCAGTGGGACTGAGTGCAGGGGCTTTGTTTCATGTCACATCCTTCTATACCACTTGGGTTTCATACCATGAATAACTAAGAAAAAACTGGCTTTCAAAGAGGTAAAAAGGAAAAAAATGCCTGGGGAAAGGCAGTGTAATTTAAGGCAGGATTGGGCCCAGGCTAGGCTGGGGCCCACACCTTCCTTTTCTTCTGTGCCACCATGCTGCCCAGTCCAGCCACCTTTACAGTTCTCGGAGAACCAAGAGGGGGTGGTTAACCCATGACAGGTTCAAATCTCCAATCATCCACAATTCTTTCAACATCTCAGGCCCTATCTCTAGGTTGGGGATTCTTACTCAGCACTCATAGTCCCTGGGATGAAGCCCTCCCTTGAGGCTGGATAATGCAAATTTACGCAGGTGGGCCTGCAGCAAATGGAGACTAGGACACAGGCCCTCTCAATATGATTCCAAGTAAAAATAGCATTGATGCTGTGCGAAGTCCTGCAAAGGCTGGTTTCTTCATAAATGAGTACTACTAAGTCCATTCTTTAAAAAAAAAAAAAAAGCCTGTTATATTAGAACCCTTTGGATGGCCCCTGCTTTGCTGGTGCCGTAAGCCTGGGCTGTGGGCAGTTGGAAACCAGCAGGTGCGAGAAGGGGAGGTGAATGGAGCACTCAGTTCCCCAGCACTCCATAGAGGTGGGGCCCAGCACCTCCTTTAACCCCTCTGCCCACCCAGACAAGAGGGGCCATCAGGCTCCCTCCAAGGTGGACCTCCAGGAACTCTGTTTTATCCTTGTCCCCATGTTTTGCATCCTCTTAGCCTCAGCAGAAACTCGTCCGACCCTGATCTCTGGCCAGGTCACCCCATTTAGTCAGATCTGCAGGCCCCTTCAAGCTCACCACCCAGGCCACCGGGGACGAGGGGTCAGGGCCCCTAGCAATGTCCCCATTTAGGGTTTCATGATATACACTTGCATCTTAAAGGCAACCTTCCCCATAGTCTTGTCTGGTTATTTCCCTTTGTCTCCCTTTAAACTCTGAAAAGTACTAAATGCCTATTTACATTTTAAATCCCAAACTGGGCCCTGCTACCTACCTCCCAGCCCAGGCACAGGCTGGAGCCAACCTCTTGATTTAAAACATGTTTTGGGGAGACACACTTTGGCCCTTAACTGTTATTCTCAGCAGCCTTGTCCAAGCCGACTGGGTCTTCCCTGGCCTGGGACCCTCACATGGCAGGGCCTCTGAACCATCCCCAGGGCTGGTGACCCCGCAGCACCTCCTGCCCCTCCCCAGGCTTCCTGCCCGTGCTTTCAGAAACCCTTGCAGGTGAAGATGATTCCACGAGCTCTTACGCATATAACCCTTTCACAGATGACAACACAGGCCCTGCAGAGACACATAAGTCTGCCCAGAGCCGTTTTGTAATCCCAATCCTGGACTTCCCACCGGGCCCCACTGACTTACTCCCTTTACACCTGGGCCTCTGGTTTGTGTCCTGTCCTCCAGCCAGGTTGTATTCTGTGGGTCCTCACTTCTCTCGAGGACATACATCTCTGTTCAGGAGTCCAGAATCAGACTGTCAAAGCTGGGTCTTTCAAACTCTACACATCCAACCTCTTTTCCAAATGGGAACAGAGGCTCGGCAGTGTGTGGGGTTATGGATCACAAATGGAATTTGTGGGAGAGCCAGGATCCAAGCCAAATCAGGGGCTCCTGACTCCCAGTCCACCTTCCTGTTGCCGTTGCTCAGGCAAACCTGTGTCTTCAGGCCTAGACAAGAGTGTACAGGTGAAGCATCAGGCAGGCAGGGTATGCCCAGGATTGGTGTCCAGTAGGGAGCAAGGCAGATCCAGCTTTGCTCTTAAGAGAACTCCCAATACTCAATAGGCAAAATAGGGTTAGCTGGTAAATGCTATGAAGAAAATAAAAGGTGATAATAGGAATTCTAAGGAGGTATTTTAGCACAGCTGCCCAGAGGGGCTGCTCTGAAGAGGTATTTATGGATTGAGATCTGAATGAAAGGAGCCACACAGCAAGTGCAAAGGCCCTGAGGTGGGAGCCCCCTGGATATGTGTGAGGAAAAAGGCCAGTGTAGCTCAGTACAGATTTATCCTAAGTCTGATGAGAATTGGAGGCCTTTAGCAGAGGCAGGATGCACAGGATTAGACTTCTGTTAGCTGCTCCCTCTGCTTCTGTGTGGACTATAGAGGCCAGGGTGGAAGGGTGAGAGCAGTGGCTTGGTGAGAAGTGGATGAATGTAGGACTCGACCTAACAATGGGTTGGGTGAGCGGGTAGAGGAAAAAAGAATCAGAGGGTGTCATGCTTTCTGGCTAGAACAGTTTGTGAAAATTGGGGGAAGCAGGTTTGCAAGAGAAAATCAGTTGTTTTAGCCACGATACAGAAGAGACATGGAGAAAGCAGCAGGCAGCTGGGTGCCGAAGTTTGGTGGTCAAGAGACACACAGAAGTCAGGGCTGGGGACAGAAACAGAGTGTCATCAATATATGGATGGTGTTTGGAGCTCCAGGACTGGATGAGCTCACCTAGGGAGAGACGACCCATCCTCTGAGCTCCCTCCAGACTGGCCAGGCCCTGGCCTTCTCCAGATGTTCATTTTCTCATATTTTGTAATTTTTTATTGGCCACTTCAGGCTTTTTGCCCATGATTTCCTTAGAAAGGTGGCAAGGGAGTTACCTACCTGGGAGTGGGGGGTTTGAGAGGCATCCCTGAAGCCTGGCAACACCCCAGCCCTAGCCATGAACTAACCGCTTCCTCCGGGCCTCAGTTTCTTCATCTGTATAATGAGGCCAGTGGGATGCAACCACTTGGTTCCTGCCAGCTCCCAGAGCCTAGAATTAGCCTTCCTGAACGCTGGTCCACAGGCAGCCCCACTCTTGAAAAAGCACCCCTTCCAGTGGCAGGCCGAGGAACTCATTCAGGCTGGCGTGGACTATGAGCCGTGTCTTCTGTATCGTCTGCCCCATGGCCTGGGCTACACTGCCTGCCTGCTGTGCCCCTCCCTGCACTTATTTCTTTTCTCCGGTCATGGCCAGGTCTCCCCCAGGGCTCAGGAACATTCCCTCTGCCCCACACTGGCAGTGCTCCCTCACTAACCAGGTGCTGAGTCCTACTTATCTAGAGGAGGCCCCACCCCTTCTCCTCCCGACCCAGGTCAAATTATTTTAAGGGCAGTCTGAAACCTGGACTGCATTTTTATCTGAAATACCCTGATTTTTAAATCCTGGAACTATGTTTTTGTTTTTTTAAAAACACAACACTGGGTCAAATGAAGAGTCCAGCCAGGAAACCTTGGAAGTGGTGAGCTAGGCTGGAAGCTCACCCGTCGCCTCAGCTCTGCTGAACCTGTCCTCTGATGAAAAATCCACTTTCTGAGTGGGTCGCACTGTGACAAACCAGCCCTTCCTTCTTGAAACTCGTTCCTCCTTAGCTTTCATGACACCAGCCACACCTGGTTTCTTCCTTCGACTGTTCTTCCCATCTCCTCCAGTGCAGCAGCTTCCCTTTCCTACCATTTCCATGTTCTCCCTTTCCCTCACCCAGCGTGCTGCTGCTACCAGCCCCAGGCTCACATTTCCAGCGACCTCCTTCCTCTCTTTGTGATGGTGGCACAAAATGTCTGGGGGGTGCCCTTGATGCCTGCACTGGGGTTCCATCAGGGGCACTACCTTCTGCTCAGAGACTCAAGCTCACGCCCCTCTCAGGCAGTCACGTGGCCACCTCCCCTCCACCTCAGGCCAGCGGTTCTGTTCCCTGTTCCCGCCCCATCTCCAGGTACTCTGGTCCACCCCAAGAGGGCCCTTGTCACGTCCAGCGTGGCAAGGGCAAATGGGACACGAGAGGGGCGGCGCAGATTGAATAAGTACAAGAGACAAAAGTAAGATTTAAGAGCGAGACCAAGGGACTCAGCCTTCAGAGATAGACTGAGCCACCGAATCGGGTCAATGCATGGTTTTTATTGATTCTTTTCAAGGAAGTAAACTGCTGTGCTGTGAGTCATTAACCGTGTATTCTGGTGCGCCTTAAGGCCTTTTCCAATGACCTTTTCCCAGTGTACTCCAGCAAATGCTATGCCTTCGTACTCCACCACATTGCCCCAAGACATAATTACATGTCCTCCCAGGGGAGACAGCTGATATCATTCCATCAGGTCCCAGTAAGGCTGAGACGCCCCCCGAGAGAGCTTTACAGATATCATTCCATCCGGCCTCAGTTTTCCGAGACACTCTCTCGACTAATGGGTCAGAGGCTAATGCAGGGGGGGTGGTCTAAGAATTGGCTGTAAGGCGACAGGCCCTCATGCACCTCTCCAGCTCCTGGGCAGACCCTTGGTGGTGGGCCACGGCATCGTGATCCTGCAGCTTCTCTCTCATCCTCCATGAAGCCAGTGCACACACAACTTGCATTTTCAGAACTCGAGGTCTTCACTTAAGCAGTGCAGTCTCTGCAAGACCCTTCCCACTCCCAGTACCACCTCCAGGGCTCAGGTTAGTGGCACTTTCAGAAAGCCCTGCAGACAGTCCAATCAGGGGGTTCTCCTTCCTGGGAGAAAGGTGTGTCTTTCTTTGCAGGGACCTGGTATACTATCTATCTTCCCTCTCCCATAGAGTGTATTCATTGCCCTGGGGACACAAGCCCTTTCCTAACTCCATGCTCCTGAATCACCCCCCATAAAACCCACCTTTCCAAGCCTGATTTTCCTCTTCTGGGGCTTATTCACTAGCTTTTCCGAGGGCAAATGGGGGTTGTGCAAGCTCTATGAATGGGGTGAGCTCCGACGAGAGGAGGGGACCACCACACCTGCTCAGAGGGATCTGCTGGCGCAGAAGTTCCCAAAGCGCACCTTCACCTTTTACGGACCTCACAGCCTCCAGCTGTCCCCTCCGTGGATCCCTAATTCTCTAGCCTCCCGTCCTACCCACCCCTCCTCCACGCGCGGGCCTCAGGGAACTGTTTCTTGTTTGCGCTCATGTCACTAGCCCCCACGGTCCCGGGCCTACACTTACTCCAAAGGGCTCAGCTCTCGTCCCGGAGTGTCTTCCCATGGTCTCAGCTGCCTCAAAGTGGAGGCTTCTTTGGCTGAGAGATTGTCCCGCGTTTCCTCTGTACCTCCAATACTAGGTCCAGCAGAGCTCACAGCCACCATCCTCCGCGCGGAGGACTTCGTCTGGTACCCGGAAATAGGGGGAGCCAGGAGAGCTCTCTCTTTCAATTTCCCTCCCCAAACAAGAGGGGGAGGGGTGTGGCCGGGAACTAAAAGCAACTTCCCCCTCCTCTCTTGGAACTCCTGCGGTGGTCTCAGCCTTCCACACGCCCACCCAGCTTCATCCCGGAGCCGCCACATTTGGCTTTGGGGGGGACCGGTGGCGGCTACTTGAACACCAGAAAATGGGGTACTTGGAGCATCAGCAGCGGGAGGTGGGGGACGGCAAGGAAATGTCCCTAGAAAAGTACTGCAGACTTTCCCTGCTTCCTCCCGTGTTGCACCCGGGCCCCGCGAGGCATAACAAGACCGCGCGGGTGCGCGGCTAGAGGAGGGCGGAGGCCCCCTGGATGTCCTACCTCACGTCACAGTGCCCCAGCCGACCACGTGAGGGCGTGCCCTGTGTTAGTTCGGACAAATTAAAGCTGGTCCTATGGGCAGGCCTGGGGCTCCCAGGACGCGGTCAGGGCTTAGGTTCCCGTGGCGCACTCTTGGCGGCCGGCCGCAAAGCTCAGGGCCGTGGGGCCTCCCCCGGAGCCCGCGCTATTCGTCCCCAAACCTGATGCCCCCCTCCATTCGCGCTCCAGAAGCCTAGGGTTCCACTCCTCCGTTCCCTAATGCCGGACTCTTCCCGGGCGCAGGCCGCTTCTTCGCGGCGCCTCGGGCTCGGGGCCTGCCCAGGTCGCAAAGGTGGACTGCAGCCGTGCAGGGGAGGGGCGGTCCAGGAATCCAGCAGCCGGGGAAGGGGCTCCAAAAAGCACAAGTCAGAGCTGGCTCGGACCACGCTGTTGTTGTTCTCAACGTGGTCCGCCACGGAGCTATAAAAGCAGAGCGAGGCGCCCTCCTCGCCAGAGCGCTTCGCGCAAGCCCAGCGATTTCTGGCAGCGGCGGAGGCAGCGGCAGCTTTCCCGGGCGGATTTTCGGCTTCGCACCGACTACCCCAACGCTGTTCCCCGCTCCCATCCAGGCCCGGCCCGGGACGCCCGCCTCGGCCGGCGCGGTCCCCACCCCAGCCCTGCCGCCCGGCCCTAGGCCCGGCCGCGGCCGCTCCCGCCTGGAGCCGCCGCGCGCCCCCAGCCCCCCGGCGCCCCCTCGGCCTCTCGCCTTCCTCTTCCCCGCGCGGCCCCCAGGCTTCCGCGCTCCGCCCTCCACCAACCCGCTCGCCACTATGTCTGTGGAGCTCGAGGAGGCCCTGCCGCTGACGACAGTCGAGGGGGCGGCCAAAAAGGCTGCCAAAGCTGGTGGTTCGGCGGCGCTGTCCTCGTCTAAGAAGAAGAAAAACAAAAAGAAGAATCAGCCGGGCAAATACAGCCAGCTGGTGGTAGAGACCATCCGCAGGTTGGGCGAGCGCAACGGCTCGTCGCTGGCCAAGATCTACACGGAAGCCAAGAAGGTGGCGTGGTTTGACCAGCAGAACGGACGCACCTACCTCAAGTACTCCATCAAGGCCTTGGTGCAAAACGACACGCTTCTGCAGGTTAAGGGGACCGGCGCCAACGGCTCCTTTAAGCTCAACCGCAAGAAGCTGGATGGCGGCGGTGAGAGGCGCGGAGTTCCGGTGGCCGCCACCGTCCCTGCGGCAGCGGTGCACAAGGCCAAGAAGGCGGCCCCAGGCGCATCCGGCGCCCGACGCTCAGACCAGAATCCTGCCAAGGGCCAGAAGCCTGAGAAGCACTCGCACAAGAAGGGCGCCGCCTCGAAGAAGGACAAAGGCGGCAAGGCTAAGGCGGCGGCAGCAGCTGGGGGCAAGAAGGTGAAGAAGGCGGCCAAGCCCAGCGTCCCTAAAGTGCCGAAGGGTCGCAAGTGAGCGCGCGGGCCTGCAGGGCCGGCTTGGTGTTCGGTTTTTGTACCCCAAGTGTAGTTTTGTACGGTTACCCGGGTCCGGGCCGCTTGAGCGCAGCGAAGGGCCTGGGATCGCTGTGTCCCTCCCATCCCCCGCCCGCCGTGGTAGGTTTTTTTTGTTTGCTTTTAGATTTTGAAACGGTCCTGGCGACGCCTCCATTGGCTCTTCGCCCCCGGCAACGGCTGTCGCTATGGTTACCGGCCCCTAGGCGCCCTTTCCGGCTCCCCATTCTCTCCACCTTAGGGTGTGCGACAATCGCGCGGGCCTACGCGGCGCTTCCCTTCATCCGGTCAGTCTTTTGGGGTGCACAATAAATTCTTTAAACCTTTGAACCGGCCTCGTTTTCTTCCGAGTGAAATAGGTATGGGCGTGATCGGAGCACATCTTGGATGGGATGATGGACTCCAGGTCTGTTAGGGAGGTAGCCCTGGAGTCTTCTGCAGGGGAGGGGGCAGCCGGTTGACTCGAAGGGTCCTCGGGACTGATCTGGGAGCACAATTGGAGAGATGCTGGAGATAACCCTAGTCTGGTCTCCCACAAGGATCCCAGCCACCATGGGGTTATGGGGGAGCGGTGCTTTTTCAGTGTTAACTGGTTAGGGCCTCTCAGCTTTTACAAGGGCATACCAGGCTAGGCCTTTGCACAGACTATTCAGAATTCTGTGTGACCATGTTGATATGGCAGGGGTAGTGGGAATGAGGCCTTGGGCACTGAACACTTGGTCAGTGAGCACTGACCACAATCTGAGGTGTGGCTTGAGTAAGGCACTGATCCTCTCTGTTGGCTAATCTGGAGTGCTGATGGACTGGAGGGTTACTGGGCAAATTGGAAAGAAGGACTCTCAGTCCTGGAAGTTTGTTCTGTTGGGCAGTAGACTGAGGCCAGTCTGATAACATTACTATGAAAAGAAACCTGCAAAACAGGTTTTAGACAACCCTAAAACCTAGGGAATGTTGTTAAACAGTGGGTAGTACATATACCATGCTGAGCAGGTGTGGGCTGAGGTTAGGTGAGAAAGGCATTAAGATCTTTGGACCCCTGTGTAGACTACAGGTGGTGGGGGGGGAAGGGCAATAGGTTGGGAGGGGAAGGAGTACCACTAGGGAAGAGCCCCTGGCCTGCTGGTACCCCTGACCCAAGCATGGCAGCTACTACCCTTTCCTGACACACAAAGGGGTCACAGGGCAGACTGCAACTACCTACCACCTTGCAGACCCCCTACAGGGCAAGTGACCACTCCCTCTTAATGTTCTTAATGTCTTGCACGGGCTCCTCCCACTGCTTCCAGCCTCAGGGAACTGCAGGGCCAGGTGCTAGTGTAAATCTTACAACTGTTCCCTTCTGCGTTGGGCCCAGAGGACACTGCAGTGGGCAAAACCAGCACAAGTGCCTACCTTGCCTGACCTTCCCGTCACAGACACACTGCTTAGAACATAACATTATTCTCTAGACAGAAGTTCAGAGAGCAAGATGGGGTTCTGACCTGAGTGTGGAGACTTGTAACTCATGGTGGCAGGAAGCCTGTCATTAGGGCAGAGGAGGACATGTAAGGCTAGACTTGGCTGTGGCTGTTTTGGTTTTGGGGAACAGGGCATCCAGGAAACAGTAGTCCTCAGTTGGAGGCTAGGACAGTAGTGGGCCAGGGCTGACAGCTCCACCCACTCTGCTGGCCCATGTCCTGGTCACTTGGTGATCAGTAACAGCTTCATCTACTTGGCAGTTTTGCTTGGGGGGCAATGTTCCCGGTGCCAAGCTGCAAGGCCATTGTGTTAGCCCAGGTCCTGCCCCATACTGCCTGCAGGGCCAGCCAGTAGGCTACCAGTAGCTAGAGACCACGAAAGGCCTCACTCGGCCTACCCAGGATTCTGTGGCATGGTGCTCCTGACCAGTTAAATGTGATCCCTCAGAATCCACCCTCCTTCCTTAAACCAGAAACCCATCCCAGGTGCCACCTGGGCTCACTCTAAGGAGGCCTGAGACTTAGCTTTCTGTTCAGCTCCCAGGTGGCTCTGACATTCAGAGAGGGTTGGGGACGGCTACTGCGGGGGACCCTGGCACTTACATACTGCTCCTTCCTGCCCAGTAATTCACCCGGAGCTTCATCCCCTTCTTGGAGCCCTCCCTAACCAAAACCCTCCACCCTGATGACCATTTGTCCTTTGAGGACATCCAGAGCTCCAGGGCTCTCCAAGTGCCTTTCCAGATCATCTTTATTCCACATTGCCTTTCTGTATTTCCCACCAAAGTCCCTTTCCCCTTTGCTGCTCACACCTCCTGGCTCTCCCAGTAGCCTCGTCTTTGATGCTGCTGCACCCCTCTCATGTCACCCTCAGTTCCTTGATAACTTGGGCCCCTGGCTTGCTGTCTCCGCCACCCTAAGGCCTGCCTCCTCCAGGAGCACTGGAGCACCCAGTAAACCAGCCCTTGGGGCAGGCCTCTTACTTTTCTCATAATAAAGAGCAGTTTAATTTCCCCCTGGGGATACAACCCACGCTACTCTTAGGCCACATGGCTCTGGGATTCTGACCTCTTCAATCCCGGGGAATAGTTGCGTGACCCAAAGACATAGCCAGCCTTAGCAACTCACCCAGTCAATTCACATGGACCAACCTACCTAAACCTGTCCCTCTGCCACGGCAGGGCTTAGCACTGAAGCACAAGACCTGTTGGAGAGGTCTGAGCACTCAACACAAGGGTACTGAAATCTGTGTCCCAGGCATCAGACTTTAGGCAATGTGGCCAGAGGCAGCTCTATTAGTCATGAGGCAGCAACTACTATTGGGGCCACTTGCACTTGCAAAATGGGGGCAGTGACACTTGCAGAGGTATTGGGAGAACAGATTGCAGTCTCTTATACCAAGGGCCTAGTCCACAGCTGTTCATTCAGCACATACTGGCTGAACAGAGGCAGGGATGGGGGCGTATTAGAAATGCTCCCGGTTCTGGAGGAGCTCAGCCACATGCAGGACAGATAAACTAGCAGCTTCCGGGTAAAGCCATTCCAGGCTGGAGCAGCACTAACATAGGCCCCCAGGTATGGAAAAAGTTCCTGAGTTTGGGAAATGGTGAAAGCAGCAAGTTGACTGACAGATCATGAGGCAGGAATTGTCAGTGGGTCTTTTAATTTCCCGTATGAGTTCAATGGTGAAGCAGAACCAGAAGGGATATAGGCACACAACTGTCTATCTGATTTGCTACAGGGAACTGGCCTGCACACTTGTGGGACTGATTAAGCAGTTTCTGTAAGTTTGAATCTCTGTGACTGATGCTGGAGCTTGAGGTGCCCAGACAGAAGGTGAAGATCACACAAGCAGGCTGAATGAAACTCAGTAGCACAAACTGGAACCCCAGGATGACTAACACGTGTCCATTCTTGTTGCCTCTGGTGATAAGGGTATCCTTCAGAAAAACTGAAGGAGAATCCATGGAAAATAGAGTAATTGCAGGCCTAGTTGCTGCTCTACACCAAGGAGGTACATCAGCAGATCAGCAACTTAAATGGTTGCTTCCTTCTAAATCTGGCAAGTATCTGCCTTGTGACTCACCCTCACAGAAAACATACAAGTAAGTGAGTTTGGGGAAATGTAGTTCAGCCCAGACAAGTTGACCCAATACTAAGCCATCATAGTTCCCCATTATAAAATGTGTCTGAGTGTGAACAGGATGAGGGGAGACTAGACCAGGGTCTCAAACACAGAGGTGCACAGGCACCAGGCCAGACAGGGTAGTCTGGTCAACTGGAGGACACAGACCCCACCTGAATTGGGGTAGTGACTACCCAGTCCTGCTGATTGCTGCCAGGCAGCACTGTGGCTCAGTGTGGCCAGAGCTTCCCATTTTTTCAGAAAGCACCTCATGAAATGTTTCTAAGTACCCCCTCTAGAGGCAGAAGGAGTGTCCTGGGCCATTCAGGAGGTGTGGGGGAAGGTGCCTCAGACTGGCAATGGTCTCACATGAGGCTTGGTCATCTGAGGTGAGGCACTTCTCAAGAATTTTTTTTTTTAAGATTTTTATTGGGGAATTGGGGGAAGGGGAACAGACAAGTTGCTGACCTTTTGTTCTTCAGTCTAGTTGTGGAGGACGTTGCTTCACTGGCCCAAGTTGGCACCATCATTGTGCTCTTCCCGGGCGAGGCAGCTCAGTCGCCGGCTTCTGGACGGCCGCCCACAGCGGCTGCTGGCCGCTCATACGGTAGCTCATGGCAACACACTGCAGCAGGGGCTGCAGCCTACACCATCGCTGGCGACTCACAGCAGCTCAGCTCCAGGTTGAGCTGTTGTTCAGCATCTTAGCTGTAGAGGGCAGTGTCACTGGCCCTCATATGTGGGATCTGAACTGGGGCCCTCTGGCATCCCAAGCCTGCTCTTAACCAACGCGCCACTCAGCCGGCCCTCAAGAATTTTTTATGTGGAAACTACAAACTTTAATTTTTTTGTGAAACCTCCCATTTTTAAGATCTGGGCATAAAAAATATTCTATTTCACACCCATTAGGATGGCTACTATATAAAAAAAAGAAGTGTCAGTGAAGATGTGGAGCAATTGGAACCCTTGTCCATTATTGTGGGAATGTAAGATGGTGCAGCTACTGTGGAAAACAGTATGGGGGTTCTTCAAAAAAATTAAACATAGAATTACTATATGACCCAGAAATTCCACTTCTGGGTATGCACCCAAAATAACTGAAATAGAATTATTCACAATAGCCAAGAGGTGGAAGCACCCCAAGGGTCCATCATCAATAGATGGATAAACAAAATGTGGTCTATATATATATACAATGGAATATTATTCGGCCTTAAAAGGGAATTCTGACACATGCTACAACATGGAATGAATCCTGAGGACATTATGCTAAGGGAAATAAACCAGGCACAAAAAGACAAATACTGTATGATTCCACTTACATGAAGTATCTAGAAAAGGCAAATTCATAAAGATAGGATGTAGAATGGTGGTTGTCAGGGGCTGGGGAAAGGAGGAAATAAGGAGTTGGTGTTTAATGGGTACAGAGTTTCAGTTTTGCAAGATGAAAAAGTTCTGGAGATTGGTTGCACAACAATGTGAATATACTTAACATTATTGAACTGTACACTTAAAAATGGTTATTATAGTAAAGTTTATGTTATGTGTATTTCACCCCAATTAAAAATAAATACTGGGGCCGGCTGAGTGGCTTGTTGGTTAAGAGTTGGCTTGGGAGCGTGAGCTCTGAGCAGCAGGGCTGCCAGTTTGGATCCCACGTGGGCCAGTGACGCTGCGCCCTCTACAGCTAAGATGGTGAACAGCTTGACCTGGAGCTGGGCTGCCATGAATCACCGGTGATGGCGTAGGCTGCAATGGGGCTGCAGTGGGCTGCTGTAAGCTACCATGAGTGGCCGGCAGCCAGCGAGAGAGGCCGGCAGCCGCCATCCAATTGCCAGCTACCCATCTGCCTCAGTCGAGAAGAGTGCAATGATCAGAATACCAACATGGGCCAGTGAAGTGACGTCCTCCACAACTAGACTGAAGAACAAAAGGACAGAAACTTGTCTGTTCCCCTTCCCTGATTCCCCAATGCTGTTCCCTCCCCCAATTCCCCAATAAAATCTTTAAAAAAATTAATCAATTAAATAAATACTGTATGGGCCAAACAAAATCATGTGTGAGCTCAATGTGGCCTGCAGTCTCCCCTTTATCACTCAACTTGATCTTCTATGAAGGCCCTTCTGGCTGCTTCACAAGATAAGAAGCCTTGGATGGTAGTGTTCTGAAGAAGACTGAGACAAAGGAAGCCGTAAGCGGTGAAATCCAGAGACCCGGAATTCCGGTCCTGAGGGTCTGCACCAGGGGTAACAACCTTTTCATACAGGGATTAGGATTCCAGTCTTGTGCAATGCATCCTACAGACATGTGCTTCCAGAGGTCCACCTTTTCTCGCCCACCTTCTGTGCCTCCCTCCCAGCTCCTATTTTTCTTGTGGCTGCCTCCACTAGGAGCTAAAGAGTGTGGCAATGGGGCCCTGCACCAGCCTGGCTGCCCTTTAAAATTTGTGTTGTTCAGCTTGATTGTCCAACCCCTTTCATTGATGCCTCCAGCTCTTCCAACTAATCCTCTAACTTCTGTGGCCCACCGGGAGTTTTGCTCACAGAGCCTGCAGCATGCCTCCCTTCCCTTAAGTCCTGGGACGCAAGGTTGGTTGGGGGGAGGTCCTCATCTATCTCCACATGAGGGACACCAGCCCAAAGGCAAGTTCCTAGTCTCCACCAACCAGCATCTGTTGCTCTGGGTTCCTGGGAGTTGAATTGTGAGCACCCACTCTCATGGCTTAAAGATGGGCAAACCAAATCTCAGACAGAACAAAGGACTTGGTCAGTTTTTCATGTACTGGGAACTTTCCCATGCAACCTGAGCCAAAGCTCCTTTTCCTAAGGAATGAAGGTCCACCCTTCCAATTACTTGCTCCTTGCTCTGGTTAAGGGGAGAGAGGGTGTACAGGCCCAGATGGGGATCTAGGAGGCCACCCATTACTCTCTCTGGTTCCCACCACCAACCTGCCCTCCGAGCTTTTCAGGCAGCAAGCAGGATCTTGTCCAAACTCCAAGCTTAGATACCCCCCCCAGACCAGGAGCCTCTTGGATTTGTCCTCACCTTACCTATGTCAAACTGTGTGCCCTTGGACAAGCCTTTCCCTTGCCTGGGTCTGTTCTGCCTCTGTACAAAGCAGGGGCAGGCTTTAGGCACACACGCATAGCACCAGGAGATGGATCCAGGTGGACTGCAGAGGAATGGAGGGCGGACACCTGTCTATTAGGACTTGGGGTGCTGGGGACCTTCTGCCTCCTCTAAGGCTATATAGAGCAGGAAAGAATCCCCTAAATTAGGACTGGAATCAAGCCTGGTCACTGCACTGGTTGGGGGATTAGGAACGGCTGCCATCTGGGAACCCAGCCCAGGAACCAGACAACCATATCCTAGGACTGTCCTACCTGCCCCAGAGAAAAGCTGGGGTCTTGGCCTGACTTGGCTACACCCAGACAGTCTTGTGAAGGCTGCCCTTTTTGTCCCTGAGATTTGTTCTTTACAAACAAAGGACAGGATTAGATGCTCCACTGCTCTAGTAAGCAAGATTAAGTACCAGCAAAAGATGGTAAAATAGGGGATTTTTATGCTCAGGAAATAGGTGACAATTTGGAAAGTAATTTGGCAATACCTAGTAAAGCTAATGATCCAGATAGAAAAAAAAAATTGCAGAATAAAATACCCAAGGTAATATCATTTATGTAAACCTGAAATCACAAGATATGTTATCAGATACAAGAATGTGCTTTTAACGTCACATTTATGTGAAAGTATAAAAACCTAAATGAAAAGGACATGTTCCTGAGAACATTCTATTCTTTCATGTTAAAATGAAAAGACCCTACCAAACTGATTTACAACCCTGACAATGGGGAGAAAGTCATAAAAAATAAAGGGAATTTTTGTTGTTGTTGCTTATTAAGCCTGAAGTAAATATGACAAAAGTCATAACAGTCAATCTTCTGGTAAGTTACATGTATTTTTAAAATCTCTCAGTAAAATAACCAAAACACCATGCAAATCAGCCCAAACAAAACTGGAGGTGGTGGTCAGAGCGCCCCTGGTCTTTAGTGCACGGTGCCTGAGAACTAACCACCACCAGCAGCCAACCCTGCCTCCTCAGGCTGGAAGGGTGAACCTACAAGGAATTTAGAGAAAGGAAGGGTGGGTGGGTCACTCCAGGGATCAGGGTCAAAGATCACGCCCCCTCTTGGCTGGCTCCCCACCCCACCCAGGACCTGCTGTGAGGCGCCAGAGCTGCTCTCTGATTGGTGGAAATTAAGACCCCGATTTGCATAGATCCTGGACCAGTGTCCCACCCATGGTTCTGTGGCAGCTGGGGCGGGCACTGCCCTGTTCTGTGGTCACCTCAGGGCCTGCTTCTGTCCAGCCACCTAGCATTTTACAGGGCCTTGTCTCTCAGAAGCCCCAAAGAGGCAAAAGCGGACCAGCCCTGGCGTTTCTGGAGATTCATTTGCTCCTTCCTCCAGGATCCCTGAGCAGGCCCCCTCCTGTCACAATTGTTTAATTGCCAGCTGTGGCACCTGGTTAATGCCTGTGGCTCCTTGCCTAGCACAGGGCAGGGCATGCAGTAAGTGCTCACATTCATCAAACAAATATTTGCACACTTACTGTTAACATTGGGAGAAAAAAATGGTGAAAAAGCGGTTCCTGCTTTCATGAAACCAATGATCTGGGTGGGGAGAGGGACAAGAGATAACCACCCCCAATAAATATCTAATTATTAAGCGATTCAATGCCAAGGAGGGGCCTACAGAGCAAATCACGGGCTCTGACCAGGCTGGGGCAGACAGATGGTCAGCTCCCACTCCCACCCCAAGCCCAAGTCACCCTCTGTGTCCTCTACCCAGATGCTGGGGCTCTGGATAGGCCTGGAGGGCTGTGACTGGGACTTCTCCTCACCCCAGACCCTATTCTCCCTGTGTAAGGGCAGGTCTTGGCCTCTGTACCCTGTTCTTTCCTCAGCCCCTCGTGTTTGGCAAGCACTCAGTCAGGTTGATTTTAAGCTAAAGGATTCAGACAACTGCCAAGATTGAAAGAAAAGAGACTCAACAAAGAACCTCCCACTAAGCCTTATCAGTTTCCAAAAAAGCAGTTTTGTCTACAGGAAGCCGAAAACGGTAAGATCCAGAACAATCCCTACCTGTAGCAGCATTTTCTGAAATGTAGACAGTTTTTCAAATATAATTTATTCAGAAAAAAACCCAAAAACAATGTTTTAAGAACTTAGCTGCAAAAGACTGAAAGAGCCCAAAGGCTGAGCAGAAAAAGGCCTTTGCTAGCAGTACCAGGTCAGGTTGGGGCTGAGAACTGGCAGTAGGGTCAGACTTTGAGGGAAGGTTCTACCAGTGTTACCAGGAGAGGGCCACAGGTATAATGTACCCCTTGTGAGTTGATGGAGGTGGCCCCGCTTCTTCCTAGGCTGCCCACAGCCCCACTGTGGGTTCTTGGTCACAGCCAGGGAAGCCATTCCCCCATGAACCCACAATAGTCAACTAATATTGTGCTACCTCCTCCCAAAGCAATCCATACACACACAATACAAGAATCTGTTAGCAGCAGCAGTATTTAGTGCAGCAAACCCATGACCTTGATCTTTGAAAGTCCTGCATTACTGGCTGTGAGGCCGCTTGGCCACTGGCTCCTCGGCCACTGGCTCCTCCTCCTTCTCCTGCTTCAGCCATTGCTCCAGGAGTCCAGTGCGGCCTCTCTTGGTGGGGAATGGCTTCTGCAGGAACTGGCTGGACCAAAGGGGCACACCTGACTCTTCCTTTTGGGGTATTTTGGGGCCTTCCTTTTTGGGTGATTTTGTGGCTAGCCACTGCAACATCTTCTGGCTGCTGCCACTTGCCTTGAGCTCCTAGGAAAAAGACAAAAAAAGCTCAAACTACCCAGCTCAAGCTCTTGGGAAAAGGCCAACTCCAAGGAAGAAATGGGAAGAGGCATTAAGTACTGATACATCTTGAAAATGTTACTAAGGGCCAGATAGGGCCCACTAGTGAGAGGTGGAAGGAGAACAACAACTGAGTGTGCCCTAAGGGGTGCAAGGCGGTCAGAGGAGGCTTTACAGAGGAGGTGTGTGGAGCCAGTCAGAGAAGAGAAATGACGGGCATTCAAACATGCAGAGAATGAGGCATTCTCAGCGAAAAGAATGCAATTCATTGTGACCAGGCAGAGTATTGAGAAATGAAGCTGGTGAGATGTGGGTTCAAACAGCCCGCATGATGAGGGGATTCAGCCTAAGGCTGAACAGGCTGTTTCCCTGACGTGCAGCCCCTCTGCACAGCCTCTCCTTTCCCAGTGTCGCTCTTCTGACTTCCTTACCCATACCCCATTGCTGAACTGAAGGTTCTGAATTCATATTATGCCACTTCTCCAGAATGTGAATTTTTTCTACAGTAAAGACCATGGCGGAAATGGGGCAGTGTCTAGTGCAAAATGAATCATTTTTAGTGATAACTAATAAAAAAAAGTCTCAGGGTTGTAGGAGTTTACAGAAAACTGAGACAAAAGAAAAAAGATGACACTGACTGTGGGTGTGGAAAACTTTAAAAACTTAAAGCAAAATGGAGGGTAGCTGTTCTCGCAATCATCATCCTTAACACTTATCGGGCATTCTAACATGCCTGTTCTAAGAACACTCAGAGCCGTGTCCTATTCCATGTCCCTCTATGCCACTTAAAAACCTTTACCCCAAATGTCAGCAGGGACAGCTTTTTGCTCTGGAGCTCCCCTCCCCATTGCAGGCCTTTTGCTTTTTCACCTTTCTTTCAGAATACATCGTCTGGATGCTTACCAATTCTAAGAAGTTAAAGTTTATAGCAGGAATGTTCTCAAATTGTCCTGAAGGAGAGAACAAGGATTGAAACTCCTCCAACTTGTATTTTGGAAAGCAGAAGTACAGAGATGAGAATAAAAATTCCAGTTGGTTACAGAGAGAGATACAGTTACAGTCAAGGGCTCCTTTGTCTTTCTCACAAGCGCCCTCTAGATTAGGGATCCTCAAACTTGGCTTACTACCAGACTCACCAAAAAAGCTTCTTAATGCTACAGGAGCCCAAGCTTAGTACTGAATATTGATCGACTCAGTAGGTCTAGATAGGGTACAGCACTTACTTTGAAAGCATTCTCCTTTGATTCACTGCTCTGCTCAGCCTTGCCATGAATAAGGAATATGAGTTTTGGGTGGTTTAAATTAAAGCTCTGAGAGTAAAGCTCTGGTCCTAAAAGAAAATGCTATACTGACAGAAGACAGAAAGCTCAAAAAGGACTGTCAGAATCATAGGCCCTACCTTTTTGACCAATAAGTTGACAGGAACCAGACACTCAAGAGTGTTGTTTCGGGAGTTGTTCACTACAGTAGAGACTGGATGGAAGGTGATGTTCTCTGTTGGGTGGATTAACTTCAGAGCTTCCTGAGTTGAGACTTCGCCAAAGTCAAGCCATTTAGAGACTGCTTCCTCTCCATCTAATATGGCAGGCATCCTGGCCAGCGAGGTCAAGAAATTGGTTGGGAGAGGCATAGTGAGGATAGGGAGAGAAGAGAGAGACACTTGAGTCAGCTGACAGATACCACAAATTATTACAAGGAGAAGCTCGCCCTCTCTCTGTGCCTCACATTCTGACTGCTGCCATATGCTCCTTGACAAGGCATGAAATTCAAAACTAGGAGAGCCAGCTTATGAAGTTTTAGGATAGGCCTGGCCGAGTGGCTCAGTTGGTTAACAGCACGAGGTCTGAGCAATAGGGTCGCTGGTTCGATTCCCACATGGGACAGTGAGCTGCATCTGAGCTGAGCTGCCACTGAGCTGGTGAGTGCGCGTGCTCTTAACAGCAAGGTTGCTGGTTTGACCCAAATGGGTTGGTGGGCTGTGCATCCCCTGCAACTAAGATTGAACACGGCACCTTGAGCTGAGCAGCCATGAGCTGCTGACGGGCGGCTGGATGGCTCAGTGTGCAACAAGGTTGCCAGTTTGACTCCCACATGGGATGGTGGACTATGCCCGCCCTCCGCCCCGCAACTATTGGGCTGTTGGAAAAGTCATGACGCATGTTTGCAACACATAGCACTAGTTCATTTTTGGAAGTACTAGAGTCATTCGCATCTATGTTATTGCTATGTCATTTGACAGCTGACAGTTCTAGCTTCATTCTAAAAGAAATTGAGCAATTTGGTTGAGTTTGGAGATTTTATAAGTTGAAGATGGAAGACCAAACTGTGCATTTTTGCCATATTTTACTGTTTTACTTCCATAAAGGGAAGAACGCGCATCAAGCTTGTGAAAAGTTGCATCAAGTTTACGGTGACAACGCTCTACAAGAATGTCAGTGCCAATGATCCAACGATGGTTCACGAAATTCCGTGGTGATTTTTTTTTAAAGATTTTTATTGGGGAATTGGGGGAATGGGAACAGTGCTGGGGAATTGGGGGAAGGGGAACAGACAAGTTGCTGTCATCTTGTTCTTCAATCTAGTTGTGGAGGACGCTGCTTCACTGGCCCAAGTTGGCACCATCATTGCGCTCTTCCCGGGCGAGGCACATCAGTCACGGGCTTCTGGATGGCCGCTCACTGCGGCTGCTGGCCACTCACGCTGGCTGCTGGCTACATACGGTAGCCCATGGCAACCTACTGCCACAGGGGCTGCAGCCTATGCCGTCGCCAGCGACTCATGGCAGATCAGCTCCAGGTTGAGCTGTTGTTCAGCATCTTAGCTGTGGAGGGCAGTGTCACTGGCCCTCATATGTGGGATCCGAACCGGGGCCCTCTGGTGTCCCAAGCCAGTTCTTAACCATCGCGCCACTCGGCCGGCCCTGTGTTGGTGATTTTGATCTCAATTACACTCCTCGGTCAGGAAAGCCCACCGAGGTTGATGACAACAAAATAAAGGCACGTTACACAACACGAGAGATTGCAGGAACATTGAACATCCATCATTCAAGCGTTCACGACCACCTGAAGAAGCTGGGATACATAAACAAGCTCGATATTTGGGTTCCGCATGAATTCAAAGAAGTTCACTTGATGGCACGTATAAACATCTGCCATATGCTCATTAAAACGTGAGGAAAATGATCCTTTTTTGAAGCGACTGATAACTAACTGGTGATGAGAAGTGGATTGTTTACAACAATGCGGTGCGCAAATGATCTTGGTCCCAACAAAGATTCGCCTCAAACGACATCGAAAGCAGACATTCATCAGAGGAAGGTTATGCTCTCAGTGTGGTGAGATTATAAAGGTGTCGTGTTTTTCGAGCTCCTACCAAGGAACCAAACAATCAATTCAAATGTGTACTGTTGGTATTTGGATAGTTTGAACAAATCCATCATCCAGAAACGTCCAGAGCTTGTTAATTGTAAAAAGAGTTGTGCTCCATTGTGACAACATGAGACCCACACACAAGTTTGATCACCCATAAAAAATTATTGGAGCTTGGATGGGATGTGTTGCCACCCCCACCATATTCGCCTGACCTTGCACCGTCAGACTTCCACTTGTTTTGCTCTCTTCAAAACTCCTTGCGTGGTATAATGTTCAATTCAATGAGGCTGTAAATCAGCACCTTGTTCAGTTTTTCGCAAATAAAGACAGGTCCTTCTATGAACAAGGAATTATGAAGCTCACTATAACAGGAGAGCACATCCAACCCACACAAGGGACACCCCTGGAATAATCAGCTCAGGTGGCCACTGTGCCCCACAGCACACCTACTATATATAAGGCCACTATATATAAGGCCACTCTACCAAGACAGGGGCGTAGCAGCTCTCTACCTAATACACAGAAATAAACACAGGGAGGCACCCAAACTGAGGACATAAAGACACATGTCCCAAATGAAAGAACAGGACAAAGCTAAAAAAAAAAAAAAAGGAAAAAAAACCTAACAAAATGGAGGTAAGCAATCCACTAGATACAGAATTCAAAACGCTGGCTATAAGGATGCTCAATGAACTTAGAAGAAAAGTAGATGAACTCAGAACTTCAACAAAGAGATAGCAGGCATAAAAAAGACATAGAAACCAGTCAGGAATGAAGAATACAATAATTGAAATGAAGAACACATTAGATGGAATCAACAGCAGATTAGATGAAGCAGAGGATCAAATTAGCAATTTGGAAGACAAGGTAGTGGAAAACATCCAATCAGAACAGCAAAAAGAAAAAAGAACCCAAAAAAGTGAGGATGGTTTAAGGGGGCCTCTGGGACAACATCAAGCATAACAACATTAGCATCATAGGGGTTACCATAAGGAGAAGAGAGAGCGAGCAAGGAATTGAAAACCTATTTGAAGAAATAATTTGAAGAAGACTTCCCTAACCTGGCAAAGAAAATAGTCCAGTAAGTGAAGAGAGTTCCAAACAAGAAAAACGTGAAGAGGCCCAGACCAAGATACATCGTAATTAATGTGCCAAAGTTTAAGGACAAAGAAAGATTACATACTAGGGAGCTCCCATAAGACTGTCAGCTGATTTCTCAACAGAAACTTTGCAGGACAGAAGGAATCTGCACGAAATATTCAAAGTGATGAAAATAAAGGACCTACAACCAAGATCACTCTATGTAAGAGGGCTATCATTTAGAATTGAAGGAAAGATAAAGAGCTTCTCCAACAAGAAAAAGCTGAAGGGGTTCATCACTACCAAACCAGTATCATAAGAAATGTTAAAAGGGCTTTTTGAAAAAAAAGAAGAAAAATATGAGTAAGAAAATATCATAAAGAAAATAATTCTCACTGACAAAGGCAAATACATAATAAAAGTAGTATGTCAACCAACACTAAAGCTAGTACAAAGATTAAAAGGCAAAAAAAGTAGAAAGATCATGTGTAATTACAACAGTAAATTAAGGGATACACACAAAAGAAATGAAAAAGATGTAAATATAGAGGGGGTTGGATAAAAATAGTGATTATAGAATGTTTTCAAACTTAAGTGACATTCAGCTTAAAGTAAACGGCTATAAACACAGCTTGATAAATGAAGCACATGGTAATCACAAACCAAAAACCTACAAGAAATATACAAGAAAAAAAGGGAAAGGAATCTGAACACAACATGACAGAAAGTCATCAACATACAAAAGAGAAAGGAACAGAGAAGAACTACAAAAACAATCAGAAAACTATAAAATGGCAATAACACGTCTAAGCTTCTTAGCTCAGTGCATGCTAAGCAGTGCATGCAAATGGAAACTTTTAAGTATTGAGGAGAAGCTTGAAATAACAAAGCATCTTGAAAGTAAAAAGAGAACATGTGATATCTGCTGAGCAACAAACATAAAAAAATCCACATAAATAACAACATTGTGAAAACAAAAGGAACATTCATTGATGGGACAACTTCAAGAAGTGTTGTGAAGTCAATATCAATCAGGCCTAAAGGAATAGAAGCAATGGAAAGATTCTTTAGCATATGGACTGAATGCCAAACAGTGAAAAAAGTGAAAGCTTTCTCACAAGAAGGAAGCACTATCTATACATAAAGACCCAAAAACCACAGAAGTGGCTCATTTTAGTGCTACTAATGGCTGGTTTGGTGGTTTCAAACACTGATGCAATTTCCAAAGCTTTCAGCAATTGGGAGAAGACATGAGCACAGATGAAAATGCTGCTAAAGAGCTTCCATCAGTGAAACAAATGTTAATTGAAGGAGAAAACTATGCATTGGATCAAAATCTTCAATTTTGGTTAAATAAGTATATTATAAAAGCATGCCTCAAAGTACTATACTTCAAAGGGAGAAAAGCCTACGATTTAAGACCACAAAAGATCATAACTTTTGCATAATCTTCCTTCCACCACTTCACAATAACTCACAAGCTGCAACTCCTCTGACACTCACTTCCACAAGCAAATGGGTCTTTTTAAGATAAAATGCCATATTTATTATAGTATCTATGTATTTCTTAACCACTTAATGTATAAAACTGGTAGTTTTTAATAGATTCCTATTATTTTTTAATGTGTCACTGACAAAGTTTTTAAGTGTTGTCCTCTTAACCCCACTTTTACCATAAATTCTGTGGTTTTCATTGTACAATTTTGCATAATGTGGTGATTTTTAGGAACGCATGTCATATTTATAGTCAAACTGACTATAACCCTATTTTGCAAAGCAACTGTCTTAGTTTTCTACTCTCTAAATGTGTGCATACAGAAACTTTAAATTCCAAAAGTTACCTATCTACAAGTAAAGAGGACAAACCTTTCCCCGAATCCTCTTGGACCCAGGGATAAGAAGTGTGACTTGCCTATGGTGGATGTCATTCAAGCCTTTGCAGGAATCCACTGTGATGATGGTGAAGGAATACAGGCTGTCTCCTCCCTCTGGTGGCTCCCAGCAATCAAAGATCCCGGCCATTGTTAGCAGCCTCCAGTTGTCCCAAACTTTCTCCCAGTCCTCAGGACTGCTGACAGCACCAATGCTGGCTGACTGGAAGCAAAATACATTAGCAGATTAGATACTCAGCAGCCTTCTTCTACATGCGGGATGGGCACCTTAACAATCACTACAGACTTAAGAACACTGCAGTCATTTGAGAGGTAATGTAGCCGAAGCCTTATTAACTCCTCTTGATCCACTGTCACGGAAAGAGGAGACTTGGTGGCAAGTACCCATCAAAGCGATAGATTTATGGCTTCTTAAATGTTTTCAGAACACAATTTAACACCTTCACTAGGCATTCAGGCCTTCTATGATCTGGCCAATCATTCCAGCTTTCACTTACAGTGTTAATCTGAACCAAGCCCAGCTGTTTGTAAATGAAGCTCTCATGCAATGTTGTTGCCACGGTGTCTTGCTGAAGCAACTTTCCCTGCCCAAAATGTCCTTCCCACCCTTTCTTATCATGCCAAATCCTACTTACCATTTAAGATTCAGTTCAAGGCCTAGAATACAGAAGCTAAAAGGGTGTCACCTCCACCTTAACAAGAAGGAAAAAAGCTAGATGATCTACAAAATCATAGCTTTTCTTAAACTCATTAGAAAACTGAGGTCACAGGGCAACCAATTAGCCTGGACTTTATAGAAAGACAGGGGCCTCCAAGGGGAGATAAGACACAAGCACTGGCTTACCAGTGGAAACAGGAGGAAGGCAGGGCCTTCAAACAGTAGATAAGAATTCAGATAAAATTATTATCAAATTGCTAAATGCAGAGTGTGGTCTAGCCTAAGAATATGGAATCCCTGGGAGATACAATACAACAGCAGTGTTTGCATTAGCTTGCGGACTGTTTTCCACAGATCTCCCTGGGTGCTCACATGCAAGACTGGGGGGCAGGGCAGGACAGTGGAGAAAGCTTTCCTTGCTGGTGCATGCCTAGAGGAGCGGAGCTCTTCTTTTTCTGGAAAGGCATGAATCCTCATTTGATCACTTCTCCTCTAAGGCATAAAAGCCTTAAGGGGTCAGGGGAAGGGTAATAAACCCTATCACCCTTAAGATACAGGCAAAGACTCACTGAGGCTGGGAAAGAGTAAAAGAAAAAAAAAACCCTCTACTACCCTGGGGAAGGAGCAAGATCACTGAGAAAGGCTGAGCCTTAGAGCCAGATGCACAACTCTGCTTAACATTGAGACAGAGCAAAGACAACAGAGAATGCTCTCTAACCCCCTTCAGATTACTGGCAGCAAGTGACAAGCAGTAGCAGTCTAATTCTGGAGTAGGGGCAAGAGCATGGAGAGAGCCTCTCTAAGGCACAGGTTCAAAGGGAAACACTACAGCTGAAGGGAGTAGAACTATTGAGAAAAACTATCTAGAAAACCAACACATACCATAATCACAAGGTCACACCAGAGAAATTTAAAACCAGTGGTGAGCAAAGATAATAACAACAAAAACCCAAACCCAGTTCAGTTCCTGACAAGACCGACTTAATCTCACACGTTAATGGCCTAACAGAAGGATAACTGTATCCATTTCCAGGCATAAGTATTATTTATCTCAGTCTCTATCCTACATACTATGGCAATGAATAAAAAATTACAAGACATAAAAAAGCCAAAACAAACACGCAAAAAACAACCAACTTCCAAGAGATACAGAAATAAACAGAACCAGACTCAAAAGATCACATTTTCCAAATGCTGAAAATTCCAGGGAATTTAAAATAAGTATAATTGATATGTTAAAGGCTCTTGTAGAAAAGGCAGGCAACATGCATGAACAAATAAGGAATTTTTGTGAAATTAGAATCAGTGAACTTAAAAACAGGTTAATAAAAATTACCCAAACTGAAACACAGAGAAAAATTAATGAAGCATACAAAAGTGAACATCCAGGAACTACGGACAACGTCAATTTGTCCAACATACGTGTAATTAGAATCACAGAAATAGAAAAGAAAATATGCCAAAAGAAATATTTAAATAATGACTAAGAATTTTCCAAAAATTATGAAAGACTCCAAGTAGCTCACAGAACATGCCAAACACACACACACACACACACACACGCACGCACACACCCTATACACATTATAATCAAACTTCTGAAAACCAAAGAGAAAATCTTAAAAACACTGGGGAATGAGGAGTGGTGGAAGTAGGAATACATAATACAAACAGCACACACACACACACACACACACACGTCGCGTGCGAATTACAGTAGGCTTCTCAAAAGAAAGTATGAGAGCCAGAGACAATTAAGTACCTTTTTTCTTAAAGTGCTGAAAGAAAAACCAAAAAACTGCCAACCCAAAATTTTATAGATAGTGAAAATACCCATTAAAAATGCAGATAGTGGCTGCCAGGTGCTGGGGGCAGGGAGTGACTAATAATCGGTATGGGTTTTTTTCTGGGGGGGGGGTGATAACTGAAGTTAGTGATGATGGTTGCTCAACATTTTGAATAAACTAAACCCCTATATACTTTAAAAGGGCAATTTTTTGGTAAAGATTTTATTGGGGAATTGGAGAAGGGTAACAGTGTTGGGGAATTGCGGGAGGAGAACAGCCAAGTTGTTGTCCTTCAATCTTAGTTGTGGAGGGAGCAGCAAGCTCAGCTCCAAGTCCAGTCGCCATCTGGCTGCCTGTCAGCAGCTCACGGCCACTCAGCTCAAGGTACCATGTTCAATCTTAGCCGCGAGTGGGCATAGCCCACCATTCCATGCAGGAGTTGAACCGGCAACCTTGTTGTTAGGAGCACGTGTTCTCAAAAGCTGAGCCATCTTGCCACCTGTTGGCAGCTCAGCAGCAGCTCATTTGGGGCGCAGCTCACTGGCCCATGTGGGAATCGAACCGTTGACCCTTTCGCTCAGAGCTTGCGCTCTTAACCAACTGAGCCATTCGGCCGGCCCTAAAAGGTTAAATTTTATGATATGTGAATTATATTTCAATAAGGAAAATCATGATTATTGAAAAAAAACGAAAAACTAGATTTTTGACAAACAAAAATAGAATCCATTATGGTAAAAATGAACTGGCACTTTAAGAAAACTGACCTGGGAGCTGGAACGTCAATGGATGGAGCCGGGCTTCCTGTTACTCTCTAGTTCTGACTTCCTGTTAAACGTTCTGGTTCTAACTTCCTGCAGTAGGGGGGCATATGTATAGGGGCCATCTTGGGAGAGCTCTCTCTTGGCATGTGAGTGGCCGGCTGAAGGTGGTTTTATTATTTTTTTAATTTTAATTTTAATTTTTTTTAGCTGAGCCATCCTGCTACCTGTTGCTCAGCAGCTGCTCAGCTCAGGCTGGACTCGAACCGCTGTTGCTCAGAGCTCAAACTCTTGAGTGAGCTCTTAACCAACTGAGCCACTTGGCCGGCCCAAGGTGGTTTTATTTTTTTCTTTTCCTGAATAAACCCTCTTTTTGGCAGACTATCTAAAAGGTTATTTTGTCTAATCAACATTTGTGGGGGTGGGGGTAGGGGCTCGTCCGGGATACAGAGAAGAACGAACTCTGGTGGCTTCCGAATGGTGAGCAAACCAGCTTTGGGGCATCACTGAGCTGTTTTGGACTCGATGCTTTTGCTCTCGGCTTAGAGGCATTGGGTGAGTTCTCTCCTGGATCTGAGCCGACTCTTTATGTCTGATGCTCTCCAGGCTTTATTCGGGAATTGTTTAAAAACATTGTGTGTGTGTGTGTAAGTGTGAATGCGTTAAAGGCCTCTTTGTCTATGTTGTCTGAGTACTCATTGTGGCACATCGGCTTGAATTCTTCGGAAAACAAGCTGTCCTTCGAAACAAAGACTGGCTTTTGTCTAAAGTCCCTTTGAAGGTAGAGGTTATTTCTACTGAAATTGGTCAATTTGGGGAGGTATTAGACTGTGCCATCTCACTGAGAGGGTGAGAAGAGTGCCAACCAGCTCAGCCTATAACTTAACTCCCTGAGAGTTGGTTATTTCCCAGGAACTGGCTTTTACCCTTTGGCCAGGTTCTCAGTGATCAGACTGTTCCAAAGTGAGGTGAGCTGAAGACCTGCAGGTTGCTCGAGTTGTGAACTGTTTTGGGCCCAGT